TCAGCTGGATGTACCTGCATCTCAGAGTTTATGTTCACTCTGGGACTCGAACCCAGTACCCTCGCTTCAAACGCCATCGCGTTATCCACTATCAGGACTCAGTGGCCGAGTGGATATGCTATGGGGTTTGAAGCAAGGGTACTGGGTTCGAGTTCCGGAGTGAACACCAACTCTGAGATGCAGGTAATTCCAGCTGACGAGTCCCAAATAGGACGAAACGCGCGTCCTGGATTCCACTGCTAGCCACTATCCATCTTTGCTTATAAATAATAACTTATCTTACATACTGATTTTCAACAGGATTACCAATGTCACCAATAAAACATTTTTATTAAAATTTAAGACAGTAATATACTTCCATACTGACGAATTTAAATATTACCAAATCATATTATGTTTGTCAATAATGAGTTTTTAGAAAAAACTTTCTTCATATATAAACTACCTTGAAGTCGCTCTTTCTCCTATGATAAAGCGATTAAAAGGTAACTAGTGAAATAAGAAATAACAATATTTTTTAAAATCTCCAAACTTAAAGGCAACCAAATCTATCAAACCTTTTGGAAAATAGTCTTAAAATTATTTAGTCGCTTTTAACTTAAATGAAAAAAGTAAAATAATATGAGTATGGCCGTTTACAATCAACTTGGTTATGTGACTCACAAAAACCATTTAACAGCATGTACAAGTATCGTTGTTTGAACTTAAGTATTACATCCGTAAGATAACTTCTCCTTGTTTGTGATATTTTCCTACTTACTAATTTACTATTTTACCGGTTTGATAGCTGATGGCTACTACGTCGAAAAATAAATAAAAATAGGTGACTTTTAAAAGCCACCAGTTTTAGGTTGACTTATTTGAACGATATAAAGAGAACTTCAGTTTAAACAAAGATGGATGGTAGCTGATAGTGGAGTCCAAGACACGCGTTTCGTCCTATTCGAGACTCGTCAGCTGGATGTGCCTGAGTACCAAAGTCGGTTTTCACTCTGTGACTCGAACTCAGTATTATTTGCTCCAAATGTCATCACTTAACTTAACCCCATTGCATAAGCAAGTGGCTATAAGGACTCAGTGGCCGAGTGGATAACGCGACGGCGTTTGAAGTGAACGGTACTGGGTTCGAGTTCCGGAGTGAACATCAACTCTGAGATGCAGGTACATCCAGCTGACGAGTACCAAATAGGGCGAAACGTATGTCCTGGATTCCACTGCTAGCCACTATCCATCTTTCCTTACAATCTGAGGAGTATGTTGATTCAAGTGTCCGGTATCTTTTTGTGGTACTCCTTATCTTCTGATCAACATTACTGAACGTTAAAAAAATGAGTGAATATAATTTATCATGAATCTATAAGATACTTTATTGTTAACATGCTTATATAAATTAAAAATAACTCAGTATTTAGGACTAGTAACATGATTATTAAATAAATAAACACCATTTAATAGTGCACTAGAGGTACTTGTAATATAGTCAAAAACAGGATTAATATTTATAAGCTGATCACTAATAAAATGAATGCTTATAGAGTAACCACTAGTAACATTAGCATTTGTAACATCCCCACTAACAGAACAAATATTTGACCAATGAGGCTCTTGAAAAGGTTTACTTCAAATGAATGTGCTATCAGAAGCAGTTACCAAATGTCACTCAATAATATAATCATTAACATTAGGTAACATATAATTACAGCAGTAACTGAAACAGTTTTTAAATATAGCATTAAAAGACTTGACCTATCTAGGGAATCGAACATAGATAGGATGTATTAAAAAGTTGAAGGGAATTTCAAAGGTTTACGGATCGCTTATCAGTGGATACTGACACCTCAGTATTTGTGTACCCTGAAAAATAAACTTTAAAATCGCGGCATTCCATAGTTTCAGTAATTAATTAACTGAGTATGATATCTAATGAGCATACGGGATAAATCACATGGAATAAGTGATATAGTAGCCTGATCATTAGATACATTCGATAGTTTCTTCCTTCGAGGTTAACACTGTATTTCATGACATCTGATATTTCATCGTATGATGAATAAAGGTCTAGATGTGACTTCAAAATGTTGAAATTTATTGACATTGTTCTGGTTGAGATAACCTAATTGGTCTGAACACTATTGAGAGAAACCTCAGCCATCTCCTCATTAATATCTTCTGCGGTGTTTTGTATGGCTCCTTTGATACTACAAAATGTATTGGGGCTCCGCTGGTTTTACTGACCCGAAGTTTTTGTCTCAAATGATGTGACTTTTACGCTATTTAATTTGGTGAAGAAAATAAGCAGGCATTTGAGTTATTAGAGAACAACAAACCATACAATAATGAAACTTGACATTAACTAACACTTCGTTGAATTTTAGGATTTTCTAAAAGGCTATTCTATCTTATCCTGTAGTCTATCAGGAGGATTTCCCATAATGTTTTTTAAACAAAACCGAATGATTGTCATCTTTTATTAAAAAGGGTTTGATAAGATTGTTTGTATTATATGAGAAGTTAGTATCTTATGTTTTAAAACAGTGTATCATTCGGATTAAACCATTCTCCATTAATTGATTTGTGAAGTTCATTTTTTTAGGAAGATAATTCTGGATCGACAAATAACATTGACGATTTCCACTTGTATATACTTAAATAGACCAACAAATCTATTCAATAAACACCCAAAATTCATTTATAAACTTGAAATGCTCTCTTCTGTATCATATTAAAACGAAATATAATCGAAACTCAAATTAATAAAACTCAGTCAGAACGAGAAAAGTAGGAATGTTACTTTTATAACAGGTTTTCAATAACATGAATTGTTGTTTTAAAAGGTAAATTCCTCACGATTATAGTACCCAATACCTATGACTCGTTCGTAAAAAGATTTATTTATTTCACGTTAAATAATACATCTGTTATCATGATTCAATTTCACATATCTTGTACCTATGTACATAATGACGTCTGGCGCACATATATCTGGTGCCCCCTTGTATCAATATTTATGTGTTTAGAGTAAAAATAGATTTAGCGCTAAGTAATATGCCTAATACAAGCCACTAATTTGAATGTTTCATTAAATGATTTGCTTTATTGTCTGAGAATGTTTTGATATCAACTAATTAGTTAGATAATATATAGTTATTCTTCATGATATTTATTTACAATTTTATTTATTTATTTAATTTAAAGGAATCTACTTCCTTAGAACTACCATTACTACTATTATTATTGTTATTATTATCATTATCATTGTACCTGGTTGTTAATATTAGCTGATATGAGAGTAAAAATTAATGTAATATATATTACTAACTATCTAAAGTAGGAGTGAATAGTGTTATTCTAAGTAATCACATTTCATTTATCAGTAGTATAATCAAACATGTTTCTACATTGATGCGTTTAAAGTTCATCTAAGATTATTGTAGTAGGTGGGAGAGATTATTGTTTTTCCTTGTTTATTTGTTTTTATATTGGATGATGTATTTATTCGCTTTTTCTATGGTAAGAAAGTTATGGAAAATGAAATGAAAAGGGGGAAATTGGTTTTTAGTTTCTTTTCTGTTTACATTTATTTTTATATGAGTTTTTATTTATTAATTATAGTTAACTAGTCTTATCATTAATTATCATCATCAATTATTTTGTCTCATTATTCTGACTGGGCACTAAATGGAACGCTTTGGTCTAAAATTGATTCGACTATCATAAATTACCAAATAAATATTTTGAGATAATAAAGTCTTATATCCACATAAGTAGTATATGGTGATGGTCAGATAACGGATGCATTTCAATAGAGGATCAATAAAGAAAGAACAGGAACGAAGCGCAATCAGTATGAAGATGCATGAATAATAATAATCGGAGACGATGAACTGATATTTGCAGAAGGAACGGTCAAGATTGAGACAATTGATTGATAGTTTGCAAATTAAGTTGTCATTCCATGGTGAACGGTTGCTCAAACTTCGTGGATTGGTTGAGGTTAGATATTATCACTGTTGGATGCCGGCTCAGCGGTCTATCGGTTAAGTGCTCACGCGCGAGACTGGTAGGTTCTGGGTTAGAATCTCGTGAGGAGAGATCGTGGATACGCACAGCGGAGGAGTCCTACAATAGGACGAAACGGCCGTGCGGTGCTTTGAGGTTTACCGTGATAGTCTAGCTTCAATTTACTCATGATTTCAACTATGAAAATACTGAAATCTCCACAAAACACCTTCTGATCATTCTATGGTTATCAGATTTTAGCGAGATATTCTGTAATTTTGTGCTTAAATACATTCGATTGTCCCCACTCGTGTTCTTATTCACTACAATAGTTAATTTGACTATGGTACTATTTCTGTCTGTTTTGTTTTTCTCATATACAGAACGTCATCATTAACTTCAAAATTAAGTTGAAGTACGCTGTTCTACTAGGTTAATAAACTATGGTGAACAATTTTCCGTTGCCATGTTTATGTTTAGTCAACTTTGAGAGTTATACTCACTCATTAAACTATATAATAAAAGAAATATTCTAAATATAATTTATACACTTTCCAACTATTTAATTTCTAAAATTTAATTGAGCGATCTATAGAAATTAATTCAATTTGAAGATATCTTTATTCACAGATTGATATCAATTAGATAATTATTATATACCGAAAATCAATAGAAAGTTTTTTCTGAAATTTTAGGCTCCCTTCATAATCCTCACTCACAGTCGTACACAGAATCGAACACAGAGACTTGGAGTTTCACACAGCATCTATAAACCAAAAAGATTTGAAAGTCAAGAGTGCATACATAAATGTTGATTGCTCTTTAGTTTTCTATGAATTCGCTTAAGCAGAAAAAGTGGACTTAAATTTATTGCAACTATTTAAGGCATAAAATAATACTATAAATGAGAATTTTATATTACAGGCTAGAAAGATGATCCAGTTAACATTATCAGATTGACTTAATTTACTTTATTAGTTTTTTTCTTTTCTTTCATACAGAAACTCAAGAAGATGAAAATAATGAATTAGATTTTCATTCACTTTCTCGTAGCAAACATCACATGCAGTTACCATACTTGAATTACTTTTCAGCAGATCATACAGTGAAACAACACAAATTAGTATTTCAGTTAGCTGATATACCTTCAAATGAAAAATTAGTTGCAGCAAGTATACGTATAAGATATGAAGCGAAGATGTATTCAACAAATTATACAATTCCAACAGAACTTACTCCATTTTGTATAAATAATACTATTAATAATGAAATAAATAGTACATCATTCTACTGGCCATTATCATTATGGTTACATTCAGATCAAAATAATATCAGTAATGTAGATATACAAACTGCAGCCATTTTTGAACCAGATAATATTCATTGTATATTACAAAAATCAGGAAAAAATTCATCTATAATGAATTTACCTAATGGATGGTTTCATATACCATTGAGTCAACCAGTTTTGCATTTAATAGAACAAATCAATAAACAAACTGATACTAATAAACAAATTGTTATACAAATTCGTTCAGTAGTTCGAAAAAATTTGTCATTAACTCATGATTTTGATGCTACTAATAATAATCATAACGAACTGGAACAGTCTAATTTCTTGAAAATAAGTAATCTAAATGAAAAAGATGAAAAGTCATTGGACTCCTCGTATTGGTTACATAATGCGCCACATTTGTTTACATATCATCGTGATCCTAATTTAGCAAAATATTTAAAACGCAAACCAAGATCAATTAATTATCCTAACAGTCAACATACACGTCAAAATGAACAAAATCATGATATGAATTTAAAGCCTTTGAATAATAATAATGTAAGTATTTGACAAAACTGGTATTTATATATCAGTTAAAAGTTATTAAATCATTGATTTTAACATTTAATAACAATTAACTACTAAATCTATGTTACTATTAATTTTAATTTATGAAACAGGTTTCGTATAAATTAATATATATTTTGTTTACAGTAGGTCTCAATGGACAGTACGAGTCATTATTAGTTTTCGGAGGGAATTAAAGAATCAATATGTAAGAAACGACTTCTTAGTTTGCATCACATAATAATCCTAGCAAGGGAAACACTGAAAATCAAGTAACACAGCCCGATTTTTTTGTAATAGTATGGGAATTCTCAACAGTGCTCATCCGCGATCCCACACAGGATCGTGGAGATAGTTTAATTTTTACGATACTAAGTCAGAGTCCGGTGGTTCGAACTTTTAACTTCAGTCATTTAATGTTTCTATATAATCAAATGCGACTGGAGAGTATGATGTATCTACGGTCCAGATGTTCAGTGTTTATTAGTTCGTAGTGACTGTATAACTAAGGTTAGTCCAGAACGTAAACTATAAAATTCAATAATTTCCTCAAACCCAACATGCTGAAAACAATTGTAGTGCAATTCATATTAAGCTTGTAAATACTACAAAAATGAATTTATTAGGTCATTTTGGCTCTAATCAATTGGTTTGGAAAATCCTACTATTCTACTGACAAAAGTTTAGTTACTTTTAAGGTTCTATAAAAAACTCTACCTAAACAAAAGTGTGATTTTAAAGGTTTTTAAACCATCAAGTAACATAAGTTAAAAAAAATAAAAAGTGAGTAGAATATAATAACTGTTTCGTCTTACACTTAAATTTCCCACTAGTACACAAGGTAGATTACATATGGAATCTAATGGAGAACACTAAAGTAAAGTTGAGGGCTTGCCATCTCGCTTCAAAATAGATTTTTTTTAATTTTTGTTGTCAAGCCATAACCTATTCAGTTAACCCTGTTCGGGACATAATATTAACTTATCAATCATATATGATAACCATTGCGCTATAAAGCGAGTTGACTGAAATACAATGTGTATACCAATGAACTCAGTTATTCAGTAGTATAGTGCTTACCGGTCAACATGAATGTCTTGAGTTCGAATTTGCTATAAGTCGTATGGGAATATATCTAGACAAAAGATGTAAATAAATGTAGTAAATTGAAACAAAGAATTTAGTCGATGAATATTATTATTGTGTAAACAAAATATATTGAGTGAACTGAATATCAATGATCATAGTCCAAAGTGAAAAAACACTACTAGCTAGAGGAATAATAAAGTAAGCTAATCTTTCTAATCAAGAGAGATGATAAAAGGCTAATTTAATAGTATTTACTATTAAGAATCATAATTTACAAAGCGTAATATCATGATATGAATAAACATGGTACAATAATATTGTTGAATCAAAGCAACAATTATTTAACTTTAGTATTAGGGGTTTATGGATATTGTAGAATTTTCAAAGTTTCAATCACGAACTGATCTTGACCAGAAGATTATTAAAAACCAGGGACAGATAATTCGTTCGAGCATAGGACTCCTCAGTAGTACATACTTACGACGCCACCATAAGAAATTGAATCTAGGACCTTCGAGCTTGCTCACAAATGCCTAACCTCAAGACCATTGAAGAGGTGCCGGAGATATACGTTTTTAACTTCACTTAGTTTACGATATTTCGCGACTATCTTTAGGTATTTGCATTAGATAACTGTCTCACACCTGATATTGTTGAGCTCTACTCGTAAAAGCTTCTTACTAGAAGTCAGGAAATCGCTTTCTGAATCGAGTCATTAGTAAACATATAATTATTATCAGTATGGAAGGTTTGTGAAAATTGTGGAATTTTCTTAGTTTAAATTACTTACTTGATTAAAAATGTCCATTGAATTACAAAATAAATTTTGAATTCTTGTGGATTAAGTTTTCCTCTTTTTTTGTTAGCTAATTTCAATTGTTAACAATATGATAAAAATTACTAATAATATAAATCAGGTTTGTTGTGATATATCAACTCACTGAAGACATTGGTGAATGGTTGCTCAATTTTGTGGATTGGTTGAAGTTAGACATTAACACCATTGGATGCCAGCCAGCTCAGTGGTCTATCGTTTAAGTGCTCACGCGCGAGACTGGTAGGCACTGGGTCGGGATCGTGGATGAGCACTACCGAGGAATCACACAATAGAACGAAACGGCCGTCCAGTGCTTCCAGGTTTTCCAAGATGGTCTAGCTTCAATTGACTCATGATCTCAACTATATAAAAATAATATAAATCAATGAAAATAGTACAAAGGTCTAGGAATAGACATATACTAGTAATACGTATACTGCCATTACTGATATGATCCTATAAACTGAATAATAAAGAAGGATATCCTCCGAAATTCACAATTTAGTAAAACGATAAATTGTTTTCTCTATTTTGTTGTTGTTGTTTTAAAGCGGTTTTAATTCATTATCTTTATTAAATAAACTATTATTCTTTTCATTTTGACAATTGTACTTGAAAATGAAACACGCATAGATTGTTGTCCATCAAGTGTTCTATAGAACTTGTACAATATATTTATCACAAATTTTTATTGGCATATATTTCTCCCTTATTTCATTTGAAAGTAAAATACTGTGTATTGTCTTCTCATCTAATTGTTTTGTAGGGAGATGAAATTTTTTTATTATAACAGATTGAGCTGGCGCCCTCAATGGTTAAACCCCTTTATTTATATGATTTGTTCGCATTGAGATTTCACTCAGTTAATTAGTTTCATATATATATACATACATGAAACCAAATAACTCAGTAGAATTTCATAGCAAACAAATGATAAAATCTTTTTTTAAAAATAATAGATGTTGAAAACGATAAGTAATAAAGTATCATTCTTCAATTACCTCAATATTCCTTCGGGGTATAAATGTTTTTGGTCCCCTACTGATAGATTAAGCTCATTCATATGGAGCATATTTACCAATAATTTTATGTCTATAAAGTAGTCCGTAAAAAACATAATATATCCCATTAACCATTAGAAAAATTTATTTACACCTTTATTCAGTGGTGAAGAAAGTTCGATAGAATGTTTTAGTACAGAACACAACTTTATAATAAAATGCTCACGTTCTTGGCATAAGTTATTTTATGTCAATAATTTAATGTGTTTGTGGACTTAACTAATTATTCGTGAACTTTGCCATTATACAATGAGCGTGACTCTTTTATTCTCTTCTTCCTTACTCGATCACTAGAAACTTTCTGGATGGATACCTTTATAAAATCCAATCACATTCAAGATTATTCAAATTACAAGTTGATTATATAATAATTATTAATTACAGAATCCTACATAAGTAGAATAATTTGTTCAACTATGAACAATACCAGAAATAAAAAAAAGTGAAAAACAGTTTTGTGTAATAACCGAAAATGTAGAATTAAAGTTATTCATTTATATATTACAGGCAAATCTTTTTTCTTGTATAAATCAACTTTATTTTTTAAATGGTATAGTGTTAACTACATGAAATTTATTGATTTAGTCATAAAATATACAATCCATTTTCCAAATTTTGAACATAAGAAATCCTTATGTGGTGTGGGTTATTTATATCCACATAAGTAGTATATGATGATTGTCAGGCATATTAATGCATCTTGGCAGAAGATCGATAAGGAAAGAGCGGAAACGAAGCGCAATCGGTATGAAAATGCATGAACAATAATAATCGGAGACGATGAACTGATATTTGGAGAAGGAACGGTGAAGATTGAGACAATGGATTGATAGTTTGCAAATTAACTATTTACTGCATGCTTGTTAGATTTTAGTAATATAGTCTGTAATTTTCGTGTCAAATACATTCGATTGTCCACACCCGTGTTCTTTCTCACTACACCTACAGGTCCGGATAATAAATACCGATGAAAAGACCGCATAATTTTAACCTAAATGTAATTTGAATTATTTCTTTGGAAAAATAATAAATTTTGCTCATATTTAATGCGTTTGAAACTAAAAGACAATTTACCTAGTCAACTAAATTGGTTAAAAGTATTCATGGGAATGTTTTTACGAAGAGGTAATGTAATTTAATAAATAGTTGCTTTACCCATTGTTAATATATTATAGATGCTTTGACGTACAATTTAAATTGTGCATTCCGTTTCCTAAAAAACAATATTTACACTTTCCTTAGTTTTATTTGTTCATAGAGGGTTAATATTGTGTATGAAATTGTCAGTAACATTGATGTGAACAAAATCTAGATTTTAATTCATAAACAAGTAAAACATTTTCACTGTTGGAAGTAACATTTTCAAAACAAAATTTATTTTACAATTATATTTACCCCTCCTTGCACCAGTTATCAGTTTCATGAATGATACAATTTTAAGTATTTATTCTGTTAGCAATATGAAATCTACCATTTTCCTAATAAACGATATAGGTTAATTGAATAATGTACATGAGATCATGAACCAATCGATGCTAGACCACCATCGAAAACCTGAAGACTCTGGACGGCTATTTCGTCTCAGTATGGGGCTTCTCAGCAACGCGTATCCTTGACCACGCACGCTAGATTCCAACCCACAACTTTCAGTCTTGCGTGCGAACGCTGAATCTCTAGATCATTGAGCCGTAATCCAACGTTCTTAATGTTTAACTCCAACCAATGCACGGTATTGCGCGGCCGTCCTCCATTGTCTTCAGTGAGTTGATATCTCACACCAGACACGCTTGAACTTTACTGGTCACTCCTTCTCATCAAAACTCTAGGAAATCCATCTTGAAGCTCGTGCCTAGTGAGCACATGATAATTATCATTATACGGTTATGAAGTACCATGTTAGGATGAAACAGCCGTGCAGTACTTCCTGGTTTTCATTGGTGGTCTAACGTCCATCGGTTCGTGATCTCAATTAAAACAAAACATTCTCCACAACCCTATGCTAATAACTTACATATTTGTACAATCTAATGAATATTTTAATACAACATTATTGGATTGATAAATACAGGCTCTGAATAAAAAGTCATTATAAACACTTGTTCATTCAAAAATATCTTTTGTTCTGATATATTGAATGATGACTTTTAAATTGAAACTATCAAGAGTCAATATCCTTTTTTTAATTTCTCATTTTCACTACTACAGGTAAGCAATAAAAAAATTGCTAAACGTTATAAACGTTTACAGAGATTGCTCAATGCACAGTTAAAGCAACAACAACAACAAAAGAAAAGTGAAACTAATCAACAAAGTGTTCGACGTAACAAACAAAATTACATTAAACAAAGATCACGTCGTTTAGCTCAATATCAACGTCGTCATAATCGTGCAAGTCAAGATCGTTATTATTATGGTGATTTAGATTCAACAAATGAAATAGTTGAAGATCATGATATAAATGAAGATATTTCATCAAATCAGAAAATAACACATAATTCATATGATAATAACAGAGAAAATCATCATTCACAACATCAACACCAACAATATCGATATGATATAACAAAATCTTATCATTCAAATGTATTACAAACAAGTAATCATCATTATTTAGATACAACATGTCAAAGACGTGAATTAATAATTAATTTTGATGCTGTTGGTTGGGCTGGTTGGGTTATTGCACCACAAGCATATAATGCACGTTATTGTTTAGGTCAATGTCCATTTCCATTATCAACTCATTATAATACAACTAATCATGCTGTACTTCTTCAATTAGTACATTTATTAGATGTAGCTAGAATTTCTGGTCCTTGTTGTGTACCACATCAATTATCATCACAATCATTATTATATCATAGTCAAAATGGAGATGTTGTATTAAGAGTTTATGAAGATATGGTTGTAGAAAGTTGTGCTTGTCGTTAATATAAAAAAAGAATACTACATTACTATTACCATACCAAACGTCACTATATACATATATATTTTACAAAATGATTCATAAAATTCATTATTCATTGTAATGCATTCAAACAATAATAATAATAAACATTGTTCAATGACAAATATGAATATTTTTATTCATTTAACTTTGTTTTATGAATTTTCTTTTCTAAATAATAAACAATCAATTTTTGATCTGTTCTATGTTTGTTTGTTTTTCTTTATTATATATGAAATAAAATAAGTATACAATATTGTATAACAAGGTCATATTTGCCTCATCATTTGTTTTAATGTATACTAATTAATTTATATATATATGACCTTGACGATTGTTTTGAAAAAAAATAAACAAAATACATTTAGTATATAAGGAATATAATTATAATTTATTAAACTATTTATTATTACTTTACTATAAATAACACTTTGTACAATTTCTTAAAATATATGAATAACATATTCAATCCATTTGATAGTTATGGTATATGTATACTTTATTAAAATATATCTATTCTATATATTTTATTATTTAAAGGTATTTTATCATACTAATTCTATGTTTATTAATTAATTCATACAAATCAAGATAGTTCTTATATTAAGGTTAAGAAGTAAATTGAATAACATACTATTATTCATTTATTTATTATCAGAATGATGAATGTATCACAAAGTAATATAAATTGAAAACATGTTGACTAAAAGATTTAGTAACCGTCCACCATTATCTTCAGTGAGTTGATATTTCACAACGAACCTGGTTGAACTCCACTGGTCAATGCTTACCACTAGAACTCCAGGAAATATCGCTTGAAGCCAGTCATTAATGAGCATATGATTACTAACAGAAGGGGTTGTTGTATGTGTGGAGATTATAGTAATTTTATAGTTGAAATCATGAGTCAACTGAAGCTAGACCACTATGGGATACCTGGAATCACTGGATGGTCGTTTTGTCTCATTGTGGGACTCCTCAATTGTGCGCATCGACAATCCCGCCTCGCGAGATTCGAACCCAGGATCTACCAGCTTCGCGCCAGAGCACTCAACCTCTAGACCAGTGAGTCGGCATCCAACGGTGATAATGTCTAACCTATCCACGATGTTTGAGCAACCGCTCATTAATTGTCAACTATGAAAATACTGAAATCTCCACAAAATCCCTTCTGATCTATAATCATATGCTCACTAGTGACTTACTTCATGAGATATTTCCTTGAGTTCTAGTGGGACGCAGTAATCAGTGGAGTTCAACCACGTCTGTTGTTGAGATATCAACTCACTGAAGACTATTGGTGAACGGTTGCTCAAAATATTTAGTGTTCAAGTGCATCGGTTTCTATAAACAAGATAATAATACATGATTTGACTATTTACTAGTAAAAAATATGTAATGTTTTTTTTTAAAAGCTATCCATCTTTATATCTCTACGTATAGATTAAATCACTTGTTAAGTCGTGGTCTTTAATTGGTCTTTGTATTTCTTTTTAATTATTTTTATTTATGAAAGGTCTTTAGTATCGTCAGTTCATAATAAAAAACTGTCTAGCAACCTCATATAGTTCTTAAGTTTACATTTCATACGAATTGGTCTGTTAATTTTTCTATCATTATCAGTTAACTTTACTCATTAAAACAGAGGAGTCAACATATAATTTTATAATTGAATTCATGAGTCAATTGAAGCTAGATCACTATGGAAAATCTGAAAGTACAATTAATATATTATTAGTATTCTATGAACTAAACTAAAGTTTATTCGCTAGAATTAAAATTTATTTCTTAATATAAGTTTGAATTTACTTCAATTAATTTAATTTTAAAGCACAACTTTCAATGTCTAAAAGATCTTTATATTTTCACTGTTCTATGCTTATTACCCTGAAAATGTTTCAATGATTATAAAAGAAATTTTAATAGTTGAGATCATGAGTCAGTTGAAGCTAGACTACCATGGAAAACCTTGAAGCATTGGACGGCCGTTTCGTTCTATTGTGTGACTTCTCAGAAGTGCATATCCACGATTCCGCCTCGCGAGATTCGAACCCAGGACCTAACGGTCTCGAGCTTCAATTGACTCATGATTTATAACTACTAAAATTACCATAATATCCACAAAACCATCTTCTGATTATAAAAAAGTTGAATAAATTGATTCATACAGAGATAATATACTTAATAGTTAGTAATGATATCTTCTTAACTTTTCAATATACAATGTTATTAAAATCATTTTAAACTTGCAATGTTTATATCATAATGGAATATTAAGATTAAAATGTTAATATCTTTTACTTTCATTCTTCTTAGCGGTATTTATTTCTAGATTATATCTATTTATTTGATTAATAATTCGTGGAGATTGTAGTATTGTAACAGTTGGTTTCAGGAGCCAATCTAAACTAGAACATCATTAAAAACCTGGAAGCACTAGACAGCCGTTTCGTCATAGTATGAGACTCTTAGGCCAAGCGCATCTTCAATTCTGCACAATGAATTACAATTCAGGACCTTCAGTTTCGCCTGCGAAGGTCTCACCTCTGTGTTATTAAGCCAGCATCCGCTGGTGTTAATGTTCAACTCCAGTAGATCCATGATCTTGCGTAACTCTCCATACATGCGATCAACTTTATCGTTAAGTATACCATAGTCGGTTTGATACCCCGTAACACTGTGTTGTAATAAGTACGATAATTAGCTATTCAATGTGAAACATATTCCAGAAATTTAAGATGAAAATGAATAGGACTAACCTTATAATATTCTTTCTTTCTAAAGCTGACTTTAGTTTTTTGAATGTTTTGTTTGTAAATGAACGATATCGTGGGATTTATCAACTTTTACAAGTACATTTTGATAAACTAAATTATCAGAAGAAAAAATATTTAAAAGTGTATGCTAATGAAATGGATTTGTCTTTATCGAGGTTAAATGCCTTTTTAGAGAAATTATCAGCTCCAACTTTCAGAAGTATTGAATAGAATTTAAACATCAGAATCAACTTATATCTGATTGCTTATTCTTAATATTTTTATAGCATGAGTATGCTTTATACGTACTTTGTAACTAATTAGTGTAAATTTGTGATGTATTTATGTTGCATAAAATGAATGTACAAGCTTACTTGGATGGTACTTTATTTCAGATTAATGTACTCAAAATTGTTCAAATGATCATAAAACTTACTTAGATACTAAACATTTACAAAGTTAAGTCTGTTATAAATAATGACGTCAACATACGATGAGTCCTTTACGAATAGTTTTCGATTGTTATACAACATAGTTATGACCAAATTTTAAATGATGTTATTCGAAAGCAAATAATTAGCAACTTACTATGACTAGTGACAGGTGAATTATCTATGCCGATTAAGCAAAGATGGATAGTGGCTAGCAGTGGAATCCAGTTTGAAGCGCGTTTTGGGACTCGTCAGCTGGATGTACCTGCATCTCAGAGTTGATGTTCACTCTGAAAAACGAACCCAGTACCCTCGCTTCAAACGCCATCGCGTTATCCACTTGTCCACTGAGTCCTGATAGCCACTTGCTTGTGCGATGGGGTGAAGTTTAAATTCATTTAGTATTGCTTGTTTGAATCTTCCCATCGACGTGTTAGGACTGCAACTGGTCAGTCTCTAATTGGCATATGTGCATACTGTGCGTATTGCCTCGATATAACCTTAATTCACACGCATGGTAAGCAGAGATGGATTAAGACTATATCGAGGCAATACGCACAGTATGCACATATGCCAATTAGAGACTGACCAGTTGCAGTCCTAACACGTCGATGGGAAGATTCAAACAAGCAATACTAAATGAATTTAGTATCTATGCCGACTTTATTTTGTGACTGTAAAAAATTTAGTACTTGTAGACTTAAAACAATGAATGGTACTATGCAAGTAAGACGATAGATGAAAATTTATTATAAATTTAAACTTTATCAAAACGATATCTGACTGCAATAATTTTTACATAATATAATTACATTGAACAATAGTCGGATTTATTTGAATTAATTGAGTATTGAATTGAAATTCAAAATCATAGTGAATGAGATCATGGAGTAAACATTTACTGAAACTTAATGAGTTGAATTCACAATAAATCATTATTGTTATATCTAAAGCTTAGATCCTTGATATACCGCGTACAACATGAGCACTCCAATACTAGAAACCTTCAAGTCACAAATGAGAAGACAGAAGATGAGCAAGAAAGAATGCTATACCAAACAATGTCAAATATGGTACAAAACTCTCCGGTATTTATAGTTTTTAGTGAAAACGAAATCATCATTATAGTCATTTAATCCGCATACAGTGGTTTTTGGCATTTGTCCAATAGGGAAACTATACGTCGAGATACTGGGATGTTCTTCCCGAAGATGACTGGATGGAATGTCTTCGACTCTTTATGGGCTTCTTAGAGCTTCCTTGAGTTTACCTGTGGGTTTTCCTTACAATTATGGGAACCAACTGAATGAAAATCACATCAAGAAATCATTACATAATCATATAATTTTCTCCTGCTCCATAAAATATGTTTTAGTAATAAAAAAATATTGATCCCATCAGGAAGGAAAATTAGATTTTAAGATGTTTCGTAACTAAGAGTAAGCCAGTTCTTTAGAGAATAAATAAAATATAAATTTTAGAAAAAAAGATTTTTGATCCAGTTTTTATCAACAAGAAGAACATTAATATTTTTGTAGATTCGTTTAGTTTGTGTACAAATAATGCGTTTTGATTTCAAAAACTGCTAATGTTGATAATATATCTTTTATTTTCAAGCCATGAAGATCCATATAAGGCAAATAAATTTTTTATTTAACTAAATTCACGAATATAAACTTGTTGTAGTTAACTAGAAATATCCTGTGTTTTTTTATTAATATTCCATTTCATATTAAAAACAAATGCCTCCAAATGCCCTGGTAATGCCGAGAGTGGGGAGAGTCCGTTCTTCCTGTCAAAATGCTCTCACATGGCCACGCGTATATTGCCTCTGACAAGGAAGTCCTACTCATTGTCTTCATGTTGCATTATTGTTGTTTACGAAATCGAAAACTGAGAGAACGAAAAGCGAATGTCCGGTGCTTTAACCGGGTTGGTGGACACG